TTTTGTCATAGATGATCCCCAGCTGTTGATATGTACTTTTATATATTACAGAACAGCTTTATAAATTATTTTGTGGACCTAATGGCTATGGGTGTAGACACCTGGGGGTTTTGTGACGTCATTTGCAAGAGGCTCGGTTAAATGACTGAACCTTTTGTAATTGTGCCTTACGTTTATATTATTTTGTTGTTTTTATATGTCAGTCTAACTGAATAATACTTAATAGTTATAACAGACACATCCCTATTACATGGTAACTCTGTTTTTTAAGAAAAAATTGTATGCAATTTAAAATTGTATGCATATATATATACACACACACATATAATTTATTGATGGCCTTCTTACTTTTTATCAATTAAGACTCAATAAAATAGCTTTTCTTCAACTCCGCAAACTCATGGTTAGGACCATATTTTCATAAGACGGTATAAGAAAAGGCAACACACTACTTAGTTATCCAAAGACAATACGAAATATAATTTCTTTTTTCAAATGTCAGTATAAAGCCTAATTTGAAAATAGCACAATATAAATAGTTAGATAATTTTGACTAAAAACGATTAACACCAACACTGTGGGAGCAGCTGTTAGAAAACCACCTTACAAAACCTGCCGTTTTGTAACGTCGTGTCTGAAAACGTGACTGCCAGAGAGGAGCCGCCGAAGAGACAACTGCCGCTAACCCGGGAGGTACAACTCTCTGACACCGAGGTCTCTCTTCCTCAGTGCTTAAAACAAGACTATTGCTGCTGTGGTGGAAACAAAGCAAACATGTCTTCCTCCCGTACAGTAATATGTTTGCTAAGAAACGACTTGCGTCTCCACGACAACGAGGTAAGAACATGAGTTTGTAGAAAAAGGTGCAACGTTGTTAAACTTAAATGTTTTAAAAAAAAACACGATTACTTCGCATGTTAATTATTTGCTTTGTTGACGACATTAAAGAAATTGTTTAAACATGTTAACGTCGACATTAAAATTACAATAACTCCAATATTGCCTGCAGCCACGTTACAGCGGTATTACTACCGGTACAAGACCTCCAGAATAAAAGCATGT